TAAATTATGTGCGTGGTTTTCAGGCTAAACCATTCACCATGGAAACAATGCTTAGCCTTAGACCAAAAATCCTCCCTCAAAATAAACAAGAACTTGAACTCCTTCAATCAGGCAAACCCCCAGAGTTAACTACAACAACTAGGCCATTCACCATGGAAACAATGCCTGGTTCCCCAGAAAACAACTAAATAAACACAGCAACCAGGCCATTCACCTTGGAAACAATGCTTGGTCCTTCAGAAAACAGTCAAATAAAACACAGCCCTGAGCCATTCACCATGGAAACAATGCTTCGGTTTTTTGTTGACCCTTCCAAACGCATGCAGTCTACCTTCCTCCCATCTTTCCCCAGTTCATCGCTTCGTCTGCTTTCAATCAGAACAAAAATAGAAACTTAGGCTTCACTCTCACACATTCTTTCCAGTTAGTCTGATTAGTCCTTAAGAGAAAGCAAAAACCATAGGGACAAACGCATGCATACAACAATCATACTGCAGGGAGATAGGCAAACATGGGTAGTAGTGGGGTTTATACAGATAAAGATGATTTACCTGAAGGTTCCCTGCCTCCAAAACCTCGCCTAGGTTCCGGCAGAGCTCCCGCAATCGGTGGGTGGACTTCCAACAAAGGCTTGATGCGGACCTACGGGTTGCAATCCCGCCTGCCGCCTTCCTCTCGTAGCCAGTAGACTAGACTTAGATTAAGAAGGGCAGAAGGAGAAGGATCTTAGATTCTCAGATGCAGGAGTGGTGCTCTCAGTCTCACAAGAGAGGGTCTTGTAATCTTGGATCGCCTGAGGGCCCCGCAATGGCGACCAGTTATCAGCTCAGTTAATGAAGTTGCGGCTGATGAAGTAACTCTCCTTACGCTATACCGCCGCCTTTCTTAATGCATCTGCAGCCATGCTGTGCAGAATAGCCTTACTCAAAACATGCATTTTATGCTTGCTCCGCGTCAAAAATATAGGAGTACACAACGACCTTACGCAGCAAGGCGCAGGGGATGCAGTGAGTACAGCGACATACTGGCTTGTATAGTAATCTGTCCGGTCTTTCCTGCAACTTGCACAACCACCGGTAGTGACTGCTGCAGCAGCCTGTACCCCGTGATGCACACTATAGTCCACAGCAGACACCGTAACAAACTGTGGTCGCACAGTAGTTCAACTACTTTTTTCGCCTGCAACACTACCTAGCAGCAAACGCAGTGGCATCCACCACAGTCAACCCCAGCAGCAGTAGCTAGTAACAGCCCGCAGCAGTTTGCTTTRGTCGGTASCAACTCCAACYGGGCACTSARCAAAKGACACAACAACASTRTGCCTARTAGACCAATAACGGTCTAACTGGCCGCAGTCCTCCCTGCCGCCATGGCAGTCCGACCTCGATCTAGCAACYCGGGGTGTCTTCYAAGGTGCGGGCGGATGTTGAGTACACAGACCACCGCCGCATGCAGGTATGTGTTTCCGCAGTCGGCGTTCATATGGAGCTCAAAATCAGACCTGCTCCAGCAGCTTAATTCTCAGTGTCCTCCGCTCTCACCTACAATTATCTTAAAAGGGTGAGAGTACCTGGCCCCTATCACGGCAAGGTTCAACTGTACACCGCAAAACCAACAGGTAAGTATCCAACTCTGTTGCTGCCTCTTGACACTTCCGTCGATTTGATGAGCAGTTCGAACGAAGCTTCTGCTAGGACGTGGAGAGGTACGCTGTCTCACCCACGACTTGCATCACACCACTCCCACCGACAACATGAGCTTCACATCGTCCATCTGGTAGGTCCCTACTCCCGTGGCTGCCACACGCTATTCAGAGGAGCATCGCACTGACCAGCAGGTAAGTCCCCACCCTCTACAGAAGCAACCGGTTAAGAAACGAATGAATTTTCTGCTAAATAACGGTTAGGTGCATCYGAGTCTTTCCTTTTATCTCCCTCAACCGCGCAGTCCGTATCACTCATGCCGACTAAACTACACCTCAAATCGAAAATCTAAGATGGTCATTCGATTCGAAATGGCCCGAAACCCTTCGTTAAGCATCTTAGATTGTAAAAACCAGCCATGGAACGAACGGGATATGCCATTTCCGCCCCCCTGTCATATCCCCTTTCCGACAGCTCCGCACAACACTTTTTTTTTCACTAACTTTTGATCCACTAACTCCCCGCCCAATCTAACTATATCTTTGGATTCGCCGACCTCAAAAACACTAATCTACTATCTTCTTTCACTCGAATCCATCGAGAATCGAGTGAAATTTTGATTCTTCATTCCCTACCTTCTCTCCTCCCGTCAGTCATTACGCACGACTTTTTCTGCCTAACTCTTTCCTTACTAACTCCTTG